CAGGACCCTGGGATCATGACCTGAGCCGAAGGCAGACGCTTAACGACTGAGCCACCCAGGCGTCCCCCTCAGAAAACCACTTTAATGTCTACTAGGCCACCCACCCCTACCAATTATTAATGTGTAAAATAAAGATGGTACTTCCAGCTTGGAAAACTACGTGAGATGGTGGGTATTAATGTGCTTTGAAGAAATTCCTGGTGTAATGAGGTGGTGGTCATAGGCTCTCCATGGGGTTACTAGCAGAGGCTTGGTATCAGAAACAGATGGTTCAAGGCCAGACTTCTTCACTTGCTAGCTATGTGATTTTGGAGAATCTTTCTGAGGCTGTTTCTTCCTGTATGGAGTTGAGATAATGATAGTCCCTGCCATGTAGGTACTAAATGAGTAACTGATCCTGAAGTTAGCACGGGGCTTTAGTTGGTATTAGCTGTTGGTATAGATATACCATAGCTCAGGCTTGGCCCAGGACTTCTGTGGTTAGAGATCATCTCTGAGCAGAGCTGTGCAGAGGGAACCAACTGGGTGTTAACCAAGACAAGAGAAGACTTGGGGGGGAGGCGTCGGGGAACGACAGAAAAGTGGCAAAGAGGCAACGTGGCCCAGGGGTTAAGAGCCAGTGCTGTAGATCAACACTGCCAGGTTCAGATAATGACTCATGACAAGCTAACTGTGTGACCTTGGAAAAGTTACTTAATCTCTGGGCTTCATATTTTTCACAGTAAAATAGAGATTGTAATAGTTCCTACCTAATAAGGTTGAGAGGATGATAGGGTTAATATGTAAAAGGCTCTTACGAGTGCCTGGCAAATATTAAATGCTTAATAAATGTGATTTATTGTTTTATTATGTGAAGAGTTGTTATGGGGAAGGACGTGGAATTAAGTTTGTTCTGTTCTAGTAAAAGGAACCTGGAAGCAGGTCTTGCATGCTTTCAACAAGGCCCTGTTATGTCCCAGGGCCTTGGAATTACAGGAACGGATAAAACAAAAGTCCCTGCCTCATGCAGTTTACATTCCAGTGGGATCGACTTAGGGCAATGTACCAGCATAGGTTGAACATCCCTGTTGTAGTGACATTCAACTTGCAGGGACCTTCCAACCTAGCCTGTTGACTTCATGAAATTCAGTGGCTCCTCACCTTAGTCTCTAGGAAGTTTTGCTGACTGAAAGCAAGGCCAGTTCAGGTGAGTTGTTCAAGTTCCAGCTGATTCATAGCAGGGAATGTTTCCTTCCTTAAGGGTTTCAGGAGTTGGGATCCTTAGCAGATTACCCAGTGCACTTCTCCCCTTGCCCCATTGCAGTATGTTTATCCAGATTAAATCTGGTAAAACGAAGTTATTTTGAAGAGTTATAGTATTAAGAACAGAGGAAAGAGGGAAAAGAAGCCTCATATTGCTTGGTGGCAAGGAGGGGAAGATTTGGGGCAGACTTTAAATGGAGAAGATTCAAAGCCTTTTTATACTGTCTTCAGCTGTTGGTGTCCTCTCTCCCCGGACCCACTCCTTGTCATCACCCAGCCTATGACTGTAACAGAACAAGTCCTCCTCCATCCCCCAAACCCCACAAAGTCCAAGGCTAACTACTCCTCTCCTCTACCTAGGAATTGCCCTCCCCCCGGGGTGGCTATACCCGTCATGCATTTATTTGTTGTTTCAGTGACTTTTTAATGCATGCCTGCTTTGTGCCAAGCGCAGGGCCACACATGAGGGATGGAGCAGAGGTGGAGACAAAGTCTCGTAGAGCTTATATTCTCCTAAGGAAACTGAGTAGGCATTATTGTCAGGGCTCTGAAGGAATTAGAGTTTTATTTTTTTTTAAAGATTTTTATTTATTTATTTGACAGAGGGAGAGCCAGAGAGGGAACACAAGCAGGGGGAGTGGGAGAGGAGAAGCAGGCCTCCCACGGAGCAGGGAGCCAGATGCGGGGCTCGATCCCAGGACCCTGGGATCATGACCTGAGCCTAAGGCAGACGCTTAATGACTGAGCCACCCAGGCGCCCCTGTTTGTTTGTTTTATAGCGGGGGCAGAGGGACAGGGGGAGAATCTCAAGCATGCTCTACGTCTTGTGCGGAACCCAGTGTGGGGCTCAATCTCACAACCCTGAGCCGAAATCAAGAGTCGGACGCTTAACCAACTGAGCCACCCAGGCACCCCAGGAAGTAGAGTTTTGAGATAGAAAATAATGAGGGTCAGGGGATTGGCAGCTTTACAAAGGGCAGTCAGAGAAGGCCCATCTGGCTGAAAGGTGAGAAGGAGCCAGATGTGGAAGAGCCAGGTGAAGAGCATTCTGGGCAGAGGGAACGGTAAGCCTTGAGGCCCTGCTGTGGGAGGAAGGCCATTGGGGCTGCAGTACAGGGACCCCAATGGGGGAAGTAGGGGAGTCGGGACAAGTAATGAGTTCACTGGGGGATGCGGGATGGTAAAAACAAGTCATGAGCTCTCTGAGATCAGCAGGAACCAAATGATAAGAACCTACTAGCCCATGGGGAGTGGAGTAAGGGGATGAGTCAGGTTTCTGGCTTAAGCAATAGAATGCATGTGTTGTTTTTTACTGAGAAAGGATGAAGCCAGACGGAGCCTTAGAATTTAAACAGTTCTGTTGAGGGACTTCTAAGTTTAGGAGGTGCGAATAGGTTTGTGTAAGAAACAACCTAAATGCTCAGCTGTCAGACTGGCAGTTAGAAATGGGCCGGTACGAGGAGCAGGAATCTCTTGCCCATTCCTCAGTGAAATGCTTCTGTTCTTTTTGTTCTTCCTTCTAAAATAAACCAAATGTGAGAGATACGGAATGTTTACAGTGAGAAATACTGCTTCCTGTCTCAGTGAAGGTGGGTCCATTCTTTTAGATTTGTCCCCTTGGAGAATTGTGACAATCTCCTCCCATCACTTTTTGTTTCCTCTTTTAAATCGAAGGTCAGCACCTCTTCTGTGGGTACTTTCCCAAAGCGAGTGAAAATTGTGGAAGTTGGTGCCCGAGACGGACTACAAAATGAAAAGGTAAAGATGGAATTCAACCAGAAGAGGTTTTTTGAACAGCAAGCGTTGCCTGTGGTGGGCGCTGCGGGGATGGACAGAGCAAGATATGATCGCCCTTCCCCCCCACGCAGAGCAAAGTCGAGAAGGCCAGGCAGTCGTGGGTGACAGTAAAGCAATCTAAGACGCCGGTGCCCCAGGTGTGGAGTCCCCGGTCCGTCTCAAGATCCCCTGCAGCAGGGCGGATGGGAAAGGCAGCAGGAGAGGAGAGGGAGGGTGAGGGCATGCCTGTCATCTGGCAATTCCAATTCTGTGTAAGGGGACTTAACTTATCCCCAAACATCATGAAGGCCACATGCAAAGATTTAGCCTTAGAGACGTTCCTCACAACCTCGTTGTAATAAAACAGGTGGAAACCACCTCAGTGCTCAGTGTGGAGAAAGTTAGCTCAAATACCTTTTTTTTTTTTTTTTAAAGATTGTATTTATTTATTTGATAGACAGGTAGAGAGCACAGGTAGGCAGAGCGACAGGCAGAGGGAGAGGGAGAAGCAGGCTCTCTGCCGAGCAGGGAGCCCAATGCGGGCCTCGATGTCAGGACCCTGGGATCATGACCTGAGCTGAAGGCAGACGCTTAACCAACTGAGCCACCCGGGCGCCCCTAGCTCAAATACTTCAATGACTTCATTAAATGGATTAGGAAGCTGTACTAATAAGGAACATGTTAAGTGATTGAAGCAGATTATAAAGTAATAGACATTTTCTTTCATCTTACACTTATATGTAAAACAAAAAAGTTTATATATCTGTGGGAACATCTCCCTAGAAAAGGATCTAGAACAGTGCTGTCCGGTAGCACTTTCTGTGAGGATGGAAATGTTCTAGATGTGAGCTGTCTTGGACACAAGACTATTGAGCACTTGAAATGTGGCTAGTGTAGCTGGGGAACTGAAATTTTGTTTTTATATAATTTAAATTAATGTAAATTTAACCATATATGGCTAACGTCTAATATATTGGACTACACAGATCTGGAAAGTCACATTATCAGGATGCTACCAGTGTTACCTCTGGGAGATTTTAAGGATGGTTTTCTTTTGTTTGGGGCATGTTTTCTGAAATAATTGTGCATTATTTTTTCAATCGGAAAAGTTCTTTCTTTTTTTGGAAAGCGTAGCTTTAATAGTGAGAGCTTATTGATAACAATAAACTATAAGCTCTGTAAGGGCAGAATCATGTCTGTTCTGCTCACTGCTGTATCCCTAGCACCTAGCACCATGCCTGGAACATGGAGGGCTCTCAAAAATTACTTATGGGATAGATTAAGGTAAAGCAATGAAATTGAGGGGGTTGGCGTGAAAGGGCCTGGTGAGAAGGACTTTGAGTTCTTAGAATTTTTTTTTTACCTAATCCTGTAAGTACTAGGGAGCCATGGAAGGCTTTTGAGCAGGAGAGTGAAACAATGGAGACTGTTTTAGAAAGATTCCTGCATGGGATGAATTGGTAGAGTGAGACCATGCCATAAAATGCAGGGGAGAATAATAGTAGATTTGGAAAGAGGAATCCATAGAATCTGGTGAGCAACTAGGCATGGTGGGGGAGGGAGAGAAAGAAGCAGCAGGCTGACCATGTGAGGATGAGGTCCAGTGCCAGTTGGGAGACAGAAAAGGGGACAAAGTGATACTTTGGGGGCCCCATCTCATGGACGCAGACAGAGGGTTAGTCATCTCTGCCCTTTCAGGTCATGGCACATTGCTCTCAATTTGTTTATGATGGGGTCATAAATTCACAAACAGTTAAGAAAAAGCCTTTATGATAGAAAAATATTGTTTCTATGTAAATATTAACTCCTTTTCAGGCGAGACGCTGCCTCCATTGCAAAATGCTATCTGTAGAACTTGGACATGTCCCCCACCTATTGGCATGAATTACATGTGAATTCATGCTCATGTTTGGAAGTCGAGATAGTGAAGTGCATGCTGTAACAAAGCTTTGAACTAACAGGCACCGGGTCTGAGACCATTTTATTCCCACTGTTGCTAACCCCGTCTTTTCTGGTGTTTCTTTCTTCATCACAGAATATCGTATCTACTTCTACGAAAATCAAGCTGATAGACATGCTTTCTGAAGCAGGACTTCCCGTTATAGAAGCCACCAGCTTTGTGTCCCCCAAGTGGGTTCCCCAGGTGAGCCCCGGCCCTCAGAAATAAACGTTTCTCAGATGAGAGAGATGTGAAGTTTTGCATTTGCCCTGGAAGTAAGTAGAAGCTGGGAACATAGGTCTCCAGATCTCTGGCTTGCTCTTGTGACTTGTAGGAGCATGGAGCAGCAGAAGACCATCACCTGGAAGGCAGGAGGCTTGGATTCCGTCTTGGCTTTGCCCCTGACTTGCTTGGGGACCTTGGGGAGGTCTTCCCCTCTCCAGGCTGAGAGTGACCTCTCAGGTCTCTTCTGGCTCTGGAAGTCTAGAATCTCTAGCCTTGTCTAGAAAAGTGGTGTCTGTGTTTGTAAAAGGGAAAGACGGATGATTGCTGTTTCACAGAAACAATCAAGTGGGAAGAAAGATCCTGTTTCAGCCGAGCATTAAGTAACACAGTCAGGGGCGCCTGGGTGGCTCAGTCGTTAAGCGTCTGCCTTCTGCTCAGGTCATGATCCCAGGGTCCTGGGATCGAGCCCCACATCGGGCTCCCTGCTCAGAGGGAAGCCTGCTTCTCCCTCTCCCACTCCCCCTGCTTGTGTTCCCTCTCTCGCTGGGTCTCTCTCTGTCAAAATAAAATAAAATAAAATAAAATCTTTAAGAAAAAGGAAAAAAAGTAACAGAGTCTGTTCTCAATAAATGGCTGGTAGTGTTGTTACTGCTTGTGTGAAGCTGGCGGTATTAGCTCTAGAGAGAAACTGGGGGACTTACCGGCCCCAAGGAGCCTTCAGGCCCATCCTCGGTCAAACAGTAAAAGCACTGGGGAGACATAGCTCTGCAAAGGGACTCATTCTTCAGGGGTTCTGGACAAGAGATTTCGTGATAAAAATGTTTTCTCTACCTGAGCTCTCTGCCTGACTCGGCAGTGACCTGGCAATGTCTCCTTTGGCTCCCAGATGGCTGACAATGCTGAAGTCTTGAAGGGCATCCAGAAATTTCCTGGCATCAACTACCCAGTCCTGACCCCAAATATCAAAGGCTTCCAGGCAGCGGTAAGAGACTCGCTTGATGGCGGGCTCTCCTGAAATGAGATTGATGACATTGGTCCCTGTCTTGTCACTGGGCCCTAGTCCCTATCCTGGGCTGTCTGTCTCAAGGGCTCACCTCCAGTAATGATGAGCACTGTCAGACAGACCCAGGGCAGTTCTGGCCCTGCCACCCCCAGCTCTCTGACCTTGACCAGCTATTTAACCCCCTGAGCCTCAGATTCTGCCTATAAGGTAGGCCTGATCATAGTACCTAATGCTGGGAGGACTTCAGAGGATAGAATGCGCCTACATTACTTAGCAAGAGCCTGGGAGAAAGTAAGTGTTTAATACATATTAGCTTTTGTTGTTATTATCCATTTCCTCTTTAGAGAAAGGTGATCGTGCTCCTCACGGTGGTTGCTAGTATCTGCCATCTTTTTAGAGTGTCGGACAAGAACGTCATTGGGGATGCTGACTCTGAATTTAGGCAGGAAGCTGTTCTTAAGAGTGATGTCCAGGGGGTGCCTGGGTGGCTCAGTCGGTTAAGCGGCTGCCTTCGGCTCAGGTCATGATCCTGGAGTCCTGGGATCGAGTCCCGCGTCGGGCTCCCTGCTCAGTGGGGAGCCTGCTTCTCCCTCTGACCCTCTCCCCTCTCATGCTGTTTCTCTCTCTCTCTCTCAAATAAATAAATAAA